GGTCCAGGAATCTTAGGACTGTAAGTATAACCTAAAGTCTGTCTTGGGTTATCTTATTAACCTCAAGAAGTTTTTATTTATGTTTATTATTTATTTTTTTTGAGACATGGTTTCTCTTTGTCACCCATGCTGGAGTACAGTGGCACAATCACAGCTCACTGTAACGTCAAACTTCTGGGGTGAAGCAATTCTCCCACCTCAACCTCCCCAGTAGCTAGAACTACAGGCACTTGCCACCAGCTTAGATTCAAAAGGTTTTTAGATCTGAGATTACTCTGTGGTCAAATCACTATTCTTGCAGGCAATATTTGATAAAAACTAAATTTATTTTAGAAACAAATTTGTCTTACTCTATTTTTGGAAAAGTCAATATCACCGTAGGAAGAAAAAGTTATGTTTTTCTTTTTTTTCTTCCAGAAATATTTTAATAAAAATTGATCATTTCCAAGAAACACTCACTGCATGCCCATCAATAAAAGAGAACCACAACAAAATAGAAAATTTACCATATGGCTATGATTTAAAGAAAAAAATGCAGACATGAGTTATGTTGCTAAAGAAAAGCTAGAATACAACTGTTATTAGATGATAGCTGTGTGCACTGTTTTCAAGTTATTTGCCTATAGAGCAATTTGCTATTTGTTATTTGCCTATAGAACTCTTCTAAATTTCTACAATCCTACTTTCTTCCATGCAGTTACCAAAAATGGCAATTTCTGTGTTTTGGAAGCCCTATAAGCTGAAACTAGATGAATTTTAAGAAATAAGTCTCATGCCTGATATCTGGGCCACACAAAGTTCACTAAACTGCCCGATGCCATTACCAGAGACATTCAAACTGCAAACCAGGATGAGAGTTGATTGTTTCCATGCTGTAGATAGCTTTTTGCAAGATGTCAGAACAAGACTCTATGTCATAATGATATAATAATACCCACCTTTTTCACTTGGTAGGTTAATGGTCATTTTGTTTATTTAATTGGTTGTCTTTAAAGCCTAGGTTTATTGCTCAAAGTCCCTATGCAAATTGTTCTTGTCACATCACTATTAATTTTACTTTGCATTTTCTTCTTTAATTTTGTATCTGTTACTTGTTCAAGTTTTTTATAGAAGTACAAATCCTAACAGTATAATGCTAACCCAGCACTTTGAGATGGTAACATAGGCCTATGGAACAGACAAAATTGAACTTAATTACAGACTCCAAGTAGACAGCCAGGGAGCACCGCGCTTTAAACTTCCTCAAGCTGAAACTTAAGCTCAAATGTGGTTAAAAAGGTTTTGACATTGACTCCTAGCTGCCATTCATTCTCTCCAATATGAAACAAGACCAGAAACCTGGGAGAGGTCCATCCTGGCATTGAAAGACATGAAAACCTAACTAAAGGATGATTGATCAGTGACACTTTTGGAGAAACATCTTGATCAAAAGGGTGAAATGTGAATGTTGCCAAAATAAAAATGGAGTCATTTGTGTTAACAAAACCCTGACAAACAGAACCAGGAAGGCCATGGAGACAGGCTTTTCATCCATAAGTGTCTGGTAACGAGAATGATCACAAAAGACTCCGTGAAAACCACAATCTTGCACAAATGCCATCGTAACTTTACACACACAAAATAAAAACTTTGGTAGGCATGTCTGCCCAGCAACTGCCTGTCCAGTCTTGGACTGGTGTCAACTTTGTTACTGATCCTTTGGCCAAAGATAATTATCTCCAATTATAGAAGCTTCTTCATTTTTCCTTTAAAAACCTTTCTCTTCCTTTACCTCCCTGGGTATGCACATAGTTTGCTATGGCATGTACATTCCCATTGCAATGCACTATTCCAGAATAAATATAATTTTCTTTTAGAGAGAATCTCTTCGTTATTAAGGCTGACAATACTTTAGAAGTTTCTTTGCATGTTTGCAGAAAATTCTCTTTGTTATCTTATGCTTGAAAGATTATTCTTATAGGTATACAACCTGTTATTGTTTCTTGGCATACTTAAGATATGCCTCACTTCCAATTTTCTCTATTATCTCCTTCTGATAGTCCAATGGGACACATCCCAATTTCTTTGCTTCTTTCTCAGTTTTTCTATCTCTTTTTCATTCTGTGTTGAATTTTGGGTAATTTCTTATACCTCTTCCAGTTCACTAATTCTCTCTTCAACTGTGTTTAAGCTATTGCTTAACATATCCATTTAATTTCAATAATTATATCTTTCACTTCTAAAAATACTATTTAATCCAAAAGGGCTATTCATTTTTTTGAGAATCTACTATTCCTTCATCCTACTTTCAGTATTCATTTTTTATTCCTACATGTAAGTAAAAATACTTATGTTTTATATCTGATAAGTCCAATATTTGCAGTCTTTCAGATTTAACTCCAATCTTCAGTTTTTGCACTTTCTCAGGGTAGCCTACTTCCTTATGCGTTTTGTGATTCCTAACTGAGAACCTTGCTTTCCTTGTAACTTCCCCTAAAAAATTTTGAAGACTTGTTTTTACGAATATTCTTCTAGATCAGATTTATGTTAGTTTCTGCCAGGTACCTGGCAAATTTTTTACTTTTTTCTTTCCATTTTTGCTCCCACACATGTAATTTCAGCCCCCGAAATAATATAGGCATAGGCTTAAAATAAAATCTCAAAGGAAACATTTCCCCCTTATTCTACCTAAAACCAAGGATGAAACAGACAACAACCTCTACTGTCTTCTTCTACACTCTGAGTTTTATTAACTGTTTATCCACCGAGGATAATACTCTTGTGGATCCTGATTTTATGTGAGGCCTTTATGTGAGGTCTTTCTTCCTGTGGGCCTAAGGTCCTATGTATAGTATGTCAACAGAATAATTCTATGTTTTGCCTGTTGGCCTATTGTCCCTCTGTAACCCATGATAGCATTCCCTTGTTTGCACTATAAATTATACAGCTACCTATTGAGAAAAACCAGTTTCTCTATACTCTCACATAGAAGACTTCTGATGCCAGATATTGTGGGGTTATTTTCCTACAATGACCAGTTCTCCAACACTAGCTGGGTCCCCATACTTTAATACAACAGTGACACTACCTCCTTGACAAAAGCATCAGATGCTATGGGTTAGTGGCTTAGTCCCATGAGGTGGCCCACTTGAGATGCCAGCTGCAAGTCCCGGCCTTCTGTCCTCTGACAGATTTGCTGTAAATCAAGGATTCCTATGATCCCCTCCTTGGGTTCCATAATTTACTAGAATGGCTCCTGAAACTCTGGAAAACACTTACATTTACCAGTTTATTATCAATGATGGAACCTGGGAACAGAGAGAAAAGGTACATAGGGCAAAATATGGGGGTGTGGGCTGAGGGGGGTATGGAGCTTCCATGCCCTCTCTGGGCACATCACCCTCCAGCAACAATAGTGTTCACCAACCCAGTAGTTCATCAAATCTTGTTATTAAAGAGAATTTAAAGAGCTTGATTTCTATCACAGCCTCCTGCCTCTCGCCTGGAAAGGCGAGCTACAACAATATTGGAGGGAAGAGCTTCATGGACAAACCTGTTAATGAAGATATAAGTTATATTTATGAAAATTTGAAAACAACTAAGGTCAAGGGAGTGGCTAGGTAATAGTCTATTAACTATTGGATATAATGTTCATTAACACCATGTGGTTGACCCAGAAAACGCTTATGATATGAAACAAATGAAAAGCAGAAAACCACATTTAACATGCATTATGACTATAAATAAGACATAATACCCACATGGGGACATGGATCAGAAGCCAAGTAGAAAAGACTTAATTTATTAGAGAAGCCAGCTTTGCAATCCTTTTTCCTTTTTAGAACTTGCAATGGATATAAACTTCATATGTAACAAACTCTTTAAGGATGCATGTATCTAAATCCTCCGTGATACAACCTGAGAGGCAAATGCCCTTGCTGTCAGACAGGCCTGTGTTGAAATCTTTGTTCTGTGTGAATAGTTCTGTGAATAGATGTGGTCAATTCTTTACTCTTTCCACTGTAGGGAGGGAATTCTGACACACTCCTTAACTCACACTCCTTACTCAAAGTAATCATACGGGATCAGCCATATGGTTACTTTGGCCAATGAGGGATGTTAGCAACCATGACTCAGAGTTGCCTCCTGTGTATTAAGGCTTCCTCTGCCACCTCTGCTTCACCATGAGAAGACACCACACTGGCCTGCTGAAGGGACAGAGGACACACTAGAGGACAGCCAAGTTGCCCCAGTCACCAGCTGTCCCATCTGAAGCAGACCACAGATACTCTGTTAAAGTAGTAAAAAAATGAACCATCCAACCAGCCTATAAACTCATCAACTATATAAATGGTTACTGATTTAGGCCACTATCAGAAAGCTTGTTATGCAGCATTATCTATAGCAGTAGATGACTAATACACCCTGTCTTCTTCCTCTTTCTATAGCCAGGTCCATCCACAGTGTTTGGTACCTACAGAGTGGTGATGAAGGCTTTTTCTGTCATTGTCCCCCCTCTGTGAGGAAGAATGAGACATTTATGCTTGCATCTCCCCCACTCACACACCCACACCTGTCATAGCACTTGTCCTTTTTTAAATACCTACTTCTTTGCACATTTCTGTCCTCCTCCAAGCCATACATGAGTTGGAAGCAGGTTAGTTATTCACATCCACATCTACAGCACCTGGCAGAGCAGGCCCTCAATAAATGTTTTTGCTTGAGTTGAATGAATAGATGTGGGGAGCTGACATGAACCAAAAGAGCCAGCAGCAGATGGTAAGAATAATAACCACACAAGCTGGTTCTTATGCCAGGAGGCTTTAGGCTTTCCAGAAAGCCCAAATAAGGGTGGAAAAAACCCAACACCCCACAAAGATGAAAAGCATACTCGTTCTGGTCTCCTGTGCCCTTATCTCTCTCACCACATCGCACATAAATCTCCTAGCCATCCATGCCCCTGAGAGGTCCCCTCAGCCCACCTCACCTTACCTCCGGGGATGTGCCTGTGTTGACCCTACCTTTAGATCAGACACGTCTCTGTAACACTGCTCGGAGCGGGTGTGGTCCGACAGCTGCACATTCCAGAAGCAGGGGAGCTGGTACACAAGGAAGGGGTTTTGTTTGATGACGGCATTGAAAATATCCTGGGGGATGAAAGCCAAAGACACAGTCAAGACAATCGGATGGTCCAGCTGCCCATTCTGGCTGTCAAGGCACTGCATCCCCTGTGATAGGGCTTCTCTTGAACCGCCTGCTCTGAACACAGGCTGGCTCGCACTGTGGGGCACCTCTCTTGCCTGTTATCTCTAGGAACCAAGCAATAATGTTTGGATAGAGACTGGGGAATGCCCCAGGCTGACTGGAAGCTCCAGAGTCCTGCTGGTCTCATAAAGCCCTATCCAGTGAGCTCACACGTGCAGACATGTGGTGTCTTCCCTACCCTTGCTGGCATATGAAAAATGAAGTCTCCTTCCCCTCTGGCCTCCTAGGCAGGAGCCCTGTGTTATCCATCCTGAGCCTCCTGGAGAGGAAACTGCATGATGACAAGTAGCCCCACTCATTCAGGGACTGAGACAAATTACAGATCCTCCCTCTCAGCAGTGCTTCCTGGGGCCTGCGGTGGACTCAGTGATGGATGCTCCTTGGATTTCTGCAGGCCATGGTGCCCAGGATATGCATTCTCCGTTTCAAAATCCAACTCTGACTTGTCTAGGGAGGTTTTACCTTTTCTGGGCTCTTTTCCAAGCTCTTGCACCAGGCCATACTTATTAACTAGCTGCTGACAGGTGGCGCCGGGAGGTGAATTATGGGCCTTCGTGGCAGAAGATGGCTGAATAAACTATCCTCACTGGACACGGGCACACAATTGCTAGCTTTGGGGGACATGCTCAAGTCACGGTGACCTGACTTGAAATATGACGCTGGTGGACGATTTCCCCCTCAGGTTTAAAACAGCTACCTGGGTATTATTTTTTTCTTAAACTCATTCATTATACTCTATCTCATGTTCGAAAAAGGAAATCAGTTTCTAGCTGCTTGGGAAATACTGAATAATAATGCTTTAAAAAATAGTAAAGTAATCATGCAGGGTTTCTTGTTTCCTCCGTATTATGAAACTTTGCAGGCATTCGACGAACCAGGAAATTGCACTTGGAACAAAAACATGCAGAGTGAGCTGGCTCTTTGGATGAAAAGGAAAGGGTGAAATGCAGAAAACTCAGAGAAATCATCTTTGTGCTTGAAGAGAGCTATCAGTGCCACAGGAAGATGAAAATTTAAAAGAGTGATTCTGGTAGACTCAAAGTCAAAGACTGGAGCCCTCTGACTTTCCTAGGACGTCAATATGAGGAATGGGTTTTTACAAAATGAGTATTTGTTGGCTGGGTGCAGAGACTCATGCCTGTAATCCCAGCACTTTGGGAGGCCGAGGCGGGCGGATCATCTGAGGTCAGGAGTTCGAAACCAGCCTGGCCAACGTGGAGAAACCTTGTCTCTACTAAAAGTATAAAAATTAGCCTGGTGTGGTGCCGCACGCCTGTAATCCCAGCTACTTGGGAGGCTGAGGCAGGAGAATTGCTTGAACCCACGAGGTGGAGGTTGCTGTGAGCCGAGATTGCACCACTGCATCCCAGCCTGGGTGACAAAGCGAGACTCCATCTCAAAAGTAAAATAAAATAATAAAAATAAATAAAAATGAATATTTGCTAACAGTTTGGTGGAGTTTCTGAGGCTGCCTACATAGCAAGGTGGTTTCCTGGCAGTTTATCCTTTCTATTTAAGTGCATTTCCCTTGAGTAAAGGGACACTAGTGCAGCATCTAAGTCAAAAGCTTAGATTAAAGGTTAGACTTGGGGCTGGGCACGGTGGCTCACGCCTGTAATCCCAGCACTTTGGGAGGCCGAGGCGGGCAGATCACGAGGTCAGGAGATCGAGACCATCCTGGCTAACACGGTGAAACCCCGTCTCTACTAAAAATACAAAAAAAAAAAAAAGAAAAAAAAAATAGCCGGGCGTGGTGGCAGTCGCCTGTAGTCCCAGCTACTCGGGAGGCTGAGGCAGGAGAACGGCGTGAACCTGGGATGCAGAACTTGTTGTGAGCTGAGATCGTGCCACTGCTCTCCAGCCTGGGCGAAAGAGCAAGACTTCATCTCAAAAAAAAAAAAAAAAAAAAACAAAAACAGTTAGATTCTATTTGCCAGCAAGGCAAGTGAAATCTTGCTTGGGAAATACGCTGTGGCGTTCTGGGGTCCCAGAGAGCAGGCCCTATGCACTCCACCTGGTGATGAAGAGGGCATCAACATCTCCTTATAAGTCTGCATCAGTAAGCTCTATGAGGGCAAGTGTTGCATCCTTCGTCTATCTCTGTCATCCTTTTTCTGAACTTGGCTCCTGGTATACACAGTACTCAGTGCGAGTCTGCTGAACCAACAAATGAATGAACAAGGGAAGGCACTAAAGAGTTGAGCTGCTGTCTTAGACTGGAAAGAATAAGGCAGCTGTATCAGAGCATACAGGGTCACACAACACATAGAAAACCATTCAGACCGATTGACTTTTAAGTTTCCTTGAGAAACAGCACCAGCGCACTCAGGAAGAGCTGCACCTTCGGACCTGGCCACTCACCTGGTCAGCTAAGGATGTAGACAGCATGCCCATGAGCTCCCTCTCTGCGGTCAGCCTCCACATCTGCTCCCATTTCATCTTCCGCAGCTTATCCAGAAGTAACAGGATCACCCCTGGGCAACAGCACAGGATAAAAGAGAAAATTAAAAAATAAGAAAGTAAGATGGAGAGCTAGGCACGCCTACTCACAGCACAGCCACAGTCTCTCGGGGATGACTGTCTTATGCAGAGGCCTATGCACTGCTGCAGATGCATCTTCCCTCCAAAAATTCTTCCAGTGAGGCTCCACAGTATGGGGCACCTGTTTTGGAGATGAATATGCCTGGGTTCAAGCCCAGGACCTACCAGTTAATTGATAGAGACGTGAAGCCATCTCTCTGGGACCTCCTCATTGTATGGAGACTGGTCATGCAGGCCTCAAAGGACTGTTGTAAGGAGTAAGTGAGGAGGGCAGGGACAGCCTAGCATTGTCTGGAGATGGGCAGTGGTGGTGGCCGCACAACAGTGTGAATGGACTTCATGCCACTCAACTATATGTGTAAACATGGTTAACATGGTAAACTTTTGTTATGTATATTTCACCACAATAATGAAAAAAAGATTGTAGCTCTGCACTGGATACAGAGCACATTCTTTATAGATATTAGGTTCTCCTGTGTTTTTCCCCAGAGATATGACCACCTACTAGGTTGAGCTGATAGGTGGAATTTGTACGACGTATACCATTTATCCCTACACACAAAAAGCAGCTCCTCTGTGACTTTATTCTGGGTATGGCTTTGCCAATTTGCTTGATGATTACTGACAAGCCACATGGGCCTGTCTCAGTCTTCCTGATTTCAAAGGGGTCTTTTTGGTCCACCCACGCCGGGTCTTTAAGGTGAGCTCCAGAAGCCTGTAAGCTCATAAGAAATGAATAATAAGAGGCGGTTCCTCTTTCTTGATATCTTTTCTTGGTTACTTTCTGTGGGAGGGACCTGGGTGAATGGAGGGTTGTTTAGGGAGGGAAATTCCCATTGTCGATACCCTTTTGTATTTTTTAAAACGCTAAAACAACAGCGGGGTGCAGTGGTGGCTCTCGCCTGTAAACCCAGCACTTTGGGAGGGGAGGAGGGTGGATCACCTGACGTCAGATTAGCCCGGCCAACTTGGTGAAACCCTGTCTCTGCTAAAAATACAAAATTAGCTGGGTGTGGTGGTGCATGCCTGTGATCCCAGCTACTTGGGAGGCTGAGGCAGGAGAATCGCTTGAACCTGGGAGGCGGAGATTGCAGTGAGCTGAGATCATGCCACTGAATTCCACCAGCCTGGGTGACAGAGCAGGACTTCATCTCAAAAAAAAAAAAAAAAAAAAAAAAAAAAAAAAAAAAGCTAAAACAGCTAAATGTATTATTCAGGCAAAAAATAAATACATCAGTTAAAATCTAAAAAAGGAAAATACATTTAGGCTTAGCTGAATGGTTGAGAAGCAACTATCTATCATCAGGTCAGTTAGAGCAAGCAGAAAAAGCCCAGAGCATAGAACACAAAGAGCCAAGAGAATTTCCCTGCAGGCCACTGCAGTCAATTTGGTGGGGGGAACTGTAGCACGCACAGGCCCCCAAATCAGTCCTCTTCAGGATGCTTAGCTCAGCAGAATGGTCAGTCGGGAAGACTCAGGGCAGTTGAAATATGATCTTAGTTGAAACCTAGTACCTGCATTTCCAAGACTCAAGGAAAGAAACTGATTTTCCCAAATCACATACACATGTCAACTCTAAGCCTTTTTACTTATTCCAGTGGCACATATTTGGAGAAAAGACATATTCACCATTTAGTGAAAGGTGGTTGGCCAGGTAGAGTTGAAAAAAAAGAACAGTGTCTATATGGTTATGGGAAGAATGGGCTAATACACAGAGATCTGAACTTGTAAGTCTGATGGACAAATTATATCTGCTGCATAGGTCCTTTGTGCTTTGTTAGGTTTACATGACATATCATTTCCCCTAATGCTCCCCCAGATCTCTATAAGATAGACTTTGATGTACTTATTTTATAGGTGAGGAAACTGAGGGGGCTAAATCACATACTTGTGAATTCACAGTTCAAAAGTAGCTATGTCAGATTCAAACTCAGATCTGCCTGATTCCAAAGCCAGGGCTTCTTCCACTCAACTACATAGACTACAGCTCCAGCAATGTCACTTTGGGACCATGGGACTCAGGTCAACACTTGTCTTTCGTTGACTCTCAGTTTCTACGAGTGTTGAATGAGAAAAATGCTACTTGCCCTGCACAGCTCAGAAAACTGTCAAGCGCTCTTGTGGTAGGCTGGTAATGTTTAATCATCAGCTCTCCGGGGGAAGAAAAGGGCCAGATTTGTAGCATTTGCCAATTGCCAAGGTGTAAACACTCCCATCATGGCTAATTTCAAGCTAGCAATGTGATGTCACTGAACACCGAGTTGGGGAGGAAGGTACACAGTGGAAATTGTTCACCATAAATGTCTTATCTGATTGTTTTACTCAGATAAACAATGGGGAGAGGGGTAGAAAGAAAAGAAACATTTAGAAAGTTACAAACCAAGAGAATATAGTTATGTAAGTCACTGGTGACTAAGAAAATATGTTCCAGTCAAAAATACGAATGAAGCTGGGCATGGTGGCTCACACCTGTGATCCCAGCACTTTGGGAGGCCAAGTCGGGTAGATCACTTGAGGTCAGGAGTTCAAGACCAGCCTGGCCAACATGGTGAAACCCTGTCTCTACTAAAAATACAACAAAATTTGCTAGGCATTGTGGTGTGTGCTTATAATCGCAGCTACTCAGGAGGCTGAGGCAGGAGAACTGCTTGAACCCAGGAGGCAGAGGGTGCAGTGAACCGAGATTGCGCCACTGTACTCCAGCCTGGGTAACAGAGCAAGACTCCATCTCAAAAAAAGAAAAAAAAAAAAAAAAAAAAAAAAAAAGGGGGGGCGGGCGTGGTGGCTCACGCCTGTAATCCCAGCACTTTGAGAGGCCAAGGTACGTGGATCACTTGAAGTCAGGAGTCCAAGACCAGCCCTGCCAACATGGCGAAACCCCATCTCTACTAAAAATACAAAAAAACTAGCCGGGTGTGGTGGCACACGCCTGTAGTCCCAGCTACTCGTGAGGCCGAGGAATAAGAATAGCTTGAACCCAGGAGATGGAGGATGCAGTGAGCTGAGATTGCACCACTGTCCTCCAGTGTGGGTAACGGAGTGAGACTCTGTCTCAAGAAAAAAAAAAAGAAAGAGAATTTCATTAATCTTATTACAAAAATGAATTATAATTAGGTTGGATAGATGCTCCAATGTATTAAAAAAATGAGGGGGGACGGTGGGAAGCTAGAAACAAGCATGAAATACATTAATGCACATTTTGAAGCCTCTAGAGAGGTCCAGGATAAATCTATGAGTCTCTGGAGACCAAGCTGAGAACTGATGCTTTTAAATGGTGTGAGACTTGGCAAGTCCTAAGTGGCAGATGTGATTTGCCAGGTTGTTTGAAAAGTATCCTGTCTAAAAAACAGATGACTGAATGCAGAAATGCAGGATCATTCTCCCTGTTAGCCAGTCTTTTCTTTTGTGTGACTTTAATTTTTAAGATTATGAACTACTTCAAAATAACAGGAAAGCACAGAAACTAATATAATGAATACCCACCACCTAGATATAATGGATCCTATAATACATTGCCACGTTTACTATTAAAAAATTAAAGCATTACAGATAAATCTAAAGTTCATCTCATTCTATCTCCTCTCTTCCTTAAAGGCAGACAGTATTCTGAGGGATCTGTGTTTTATTTCTAGGCTTGTTTTTACATTTTTATCCTCTATGCATATAATAACAACACATGGTATTTTTAGTGTGTTTTGGATTGCGTATTTCCTCTTCTAACTTGCCTTTTCACCCACTGTTACGTCTTTAAGATTTAACCATGTTAGTATTTCCTATGTAGTTTAGTCACTGTAACCATATCATCCATTTTATACATATACCACAATTTATTTATCCATTCCTCTCCTGAAGCACATTTTGGTTGTTTACTGTGTTTTTGCCGTTATAAACAATGCTGCAATAAATATCCTAATCTGGACTGACGTCTCGAGAGCTTAGCTAGGTACAGCTTCCAAAGGTGGACCGGGATTGCTGTGTTGAAGGCGCTCCTTGTCTGGAGACATCTTCAACTATTCAGTCTTCCTTTTCTCTTACAGTCAGTCATTACTGAGTCCACAGATTCTAAATTTAAAATGCCTTTCACATTTTTTTTATTCATTCATTCAACAGTTATTTATTAATAGAGTAGCTACTATGTGTGAATTTGTAGAAATAGACTTGTACTTATTTTGCTTCCCGACTTTCACCAATCTCATGGGCTTTTTTATTTATATTTTCTTAGACAGAGTCTTGCTCTGTTGCCCAGGCTGGAGCGCAGTGGCGCGACCTTGGCTCACTGTAACCTCCGCCTCTCGGGATCAAGTGATTCTCCTGCCTCAGCCTCCCAAGTAGCTGGGATTACAGGCACCAGCCGCCATGCCTGGCTAATTTTTTTGGATTTTTAGTAGAGACGGGGTTTCGCCATGTTGGCCAGGCTGTTCTCAAACTCCTGAACTCAGGTGATCCACCCACCTTGGCCTCTCAAAATGCTGGGATTACAGTTGTGAGCCACTGTGCCTGGCCAATCTCATGGGCTTTATTCAACATATTAGCTCAGCATATATTTAGTGGAGGTATAACATTCATTCTTTGCCAGGCCCTTTTGTAGAAACACACATAAGACACGTACATCATTAGGATTCAATGTGATGACTGCATACACTGAGGACACGCAGTGCTTATGAAGAGAGCTCAAAGGAGGGAGGCCTGAGTGGCCTGGGCTAGGACTTGGTCAGGCAGTTGGGGAAGCTGTCTGAGGAAACACCATGGCCAAAGCACGGAGGTAGGAGGTGCATGATAAGAGTGGGCTACACAAGAACTAGAGTGTATCATGGCCAGATGGTTTCAATAGCAGGCTTAGGCAAATGCCAGGACAGAAGCCTGAACACATGAGCAGGCAATAAATCAGGAAAAGCCTCGCATCTATGCAACACAGGTGCATTCCAACCATGC